CTACACAGTGTCCATTGCTCCCTACTCCCTGAGCAGGGGAAATCCGTTGAAGTTTACTTCACTTCGGAATATTCATTTACAGATTTGCGCTGCGCCGCTGCCTGCAGCGTCTTCACACACAAACGAAACTTACTAGAGAAGCGTGAAGTGGGACATAATATACCTCTGTAAATAAATACAATTTAAATTCACGTCTCGCACACTTAAATGCCCTTTGTATGGAACATACGCTCCCTTCAAACTGGAATCATGGCGGAATATCCGGTAATGTCCATTTCGCAGCGCACTTACAGTCAAATATAACAGTAAGCAATAAGAGAAACACACAAAATGTACAGAGCGGGGGTACGCGAGGACTGGAAATGAGAACCGCTGTTCTAGATATGCCAAAAATGTGAGGCTACAGCACAGCAGCTCTTCTTCGTCGTCTCGTCTGATGCGCTCACTCAGAACGCAACGGGCAGCGTTGTCAGTAGTTTTTCCACATGGAAAATTGCGACTTTGAATGTTCCCCCTTTAAAAGATTTGCGTTGTTTCTGTTAAACAGCTGAACGGATTGCAACGAAATGAAACCGAACGCATGGTTCCCACTACGCCTAGCCGTTTTAAATGCAAGTCTATTTTAAACTTAACATGCCGCAAACGCGCCACTCTTATGGCACGAGACGCTGTAAATGGCGAGACGCAATGCAAATCGGAATGTCTTCTTTCGTCTTTGTGCAGCACCGCTCCAGTCGCTATTATAAATCGAAATGTCGCCTTCATCATAAAAGCTCTTAGAAGAAAAACTGTGCTTGGTTGTTTTAATGGTGAAAACTGGAAGTGCATGTTAAAAGAGCATTAACATTGTATGCAGTATAAAGCATGCTTTCTGCTTTTAGGAGATAAATCCCATGGGATAAAAAGCCCATCACTATTAAATGCATTACTAGTGATGGGCTTTTAGATATGTGAGGTTGGACAAATTAATTTAAGTAAGAGGAGCAAAGAGTTCTGGGCAATGTGTTTTTCATTATCACATTACCAGACTATTTTATCAAAATATTCAGTTACAGAAAAAATGTGTGTATATCTGTATTTGTTTTCTGTAATACAATAATATATTACAGTAAATTATTACAAAATATTATATATAAGTAATGGCAAAATACGTTTACAACTCATCAAATTAACCGGTTTCAACTTTTATACAATTTATAAAAAACTCAACTATATTATTATTATTATTTATGTCTGCTTAATATAACAAATTATAATTTATGGAATTTTTATAGTTTATATTTATGAATGTGTTTGACTTAAAATACAGTAAACGGTAATTGTGAAATTTTATTACAATCTCAAATTACTGTTCGTGACGTGACTCTTGACTTACTGTTTTTTGATCAAATAGATGGAGACTGTCAAAAACATAAAACCATTTTTTTTTTTCATTATTCCCTGATTTAGATATTGGGTAGGCAGACAACTGACCCATAGCCACAACTGTTCAGTGCTTCAGCATTGAAAACGCTGTTTTATGTTGTTTTGAGACATGACATGGTGGTCTGGGGAGGTTGTTGCAGATGAAGTGTGATCGGTCTTTGAGACAGTGCTGTTTGATCTTGAGATTAAGCTGATTCATGGCACATCTGACTGCAGTTCTGATGCAGCTGTCTGTGGAAACACATGGGTCAAGTGGTATATAAAGTGCTGTTTCCAGTCAATTAGTTTTCATTTATTGCAGTTTTTATTTTGGTCTTGTCATTTAGGTTGTGCAAAAATAAATAAATAAATAAATGGCTTGAACTTACTAACATGTCCCTTCCTCCATCTCCAAGTTGATCAGTTTAAGCTGCAGAGGAGCATACCAGATAACTTCTCTCACCTCACATACTAATTTTTGTATGCCAGGCAGTTTCTCATGCAACCCCACTATTCTGTCTGTGCATTAGGTAGTTTCTGTGACTGAGTACTACCGGAGGATAGATGCGCTAAACAGTGAGGACCTGCGCTCGCTCTGCAAACGTCTTCAGGTGCCACATGCTCAACTCCACACGGAAACCATCACAAAGGCCACAGCATGTCTGTTGATCAAGGAGCATAAACTTCATTAAACTCAACAATTAGGATACTGTATGAAAGAATCAGTGTCAACATATTAATCAGCAAGTTGAATGAAAAAAATACTATCTACCGTTTGATCTGAATCGGAATGAATTACAGGCTGTTTTACATCATTTGTTCCTCTTGATCAGCAGATCGCACTGGTCTTTATGTGGAGTGTGGAATAATAAAACTGGCCCTGAGTTGACATACAGCTATTTTATATGACTTGACACTTAATAGGCTGATAGAATTTCTGCAATAATACTGAAACTGGATATCTGTCAACTGGCATTTCCATCTGGATGACAGAAGGGGATTTAGATGGCTTGAATAAGAGGAAGCAATGAATTAAGCAAATATCATAGTAGTTAGTCTCATGCTGTCCCCCAGAGACCTTTCCAGAAGGGTTTGATCAAGTATCTAAAAGTTGTTGCATTTGACTGCAGTGCTTGTTCTGACTTACTCTTCAGACAGCAATCATCACACTCTTAAAGTCAACATGACATTACTATTAACCCCGTTTGCTTTATTAATACACGTACCTGATCTTACGGTGCATGACTCTTCACTGCATGTTATTCCAACTATTTGTTTTGTTTTTAACATTCTAATCAATTTGTAATATTTTGTAATTTGCTATATATTATATTATAGTAATTATACGTTTTAGTTGTTTCATTTTTATTTCTTGCACTGCTGTTGTATTAAGTCATTCGACATTGACACCTGTTATTCCAATTATTATTTTTTTAATTAATGTAATTTTGTAATAACTTACTATAATTTATATTAGAAATAAGTATACTGTAATAATTATTTAATATATTTTTAGTCATTTAGTTTTTATTGCTTGCTGTTTTTATGTTAATTATGGTTATATATATACAGTATATTTATATTATAAAAATAAGAATTTGTTTCTATTTTGCCTGATGTTAACAAGGCAGTGAGGGTTAATGTTAACTATGTAGGCATTGTTAGATGCTAAGTATTGTAAGTATACGGCAGTCTAATTGTTATTGCACTTATTTAATACTTGTCTCAAATTTTTATGCATTATTTTTTAAGTCTGAAATGCTTTATATTGCGGAAGAGAAATGGTTCGTGAATGTCATTTCATGTTGACTTTAAAGGAAAAAACATTCCTGAAAGTGTGTTGTTGAGGTCTCACTAACCCTATTCCCTGCAAACATGAAAACAGTGCAAACATCCAAGATTGTTAGCCTTTACTGAACATTGTTGTAAATATACAAAAAAAATAAAAATAAAACAGTTATCAGCTCCAAATCGGATGTTGAATTGGCATGTGATCCTTGGACATTTGCCTTGGTTTGCATTGCCGTTGGCGAACTACCCTGTTTTCCTGCTAACCTTTATTCCTGTGCTTAACTACGGTTATACTTTTCATTCCTGAAATAAGACCCCTTGGTACATTTTCCTGCCAGCCAAACCTCTCTGGCCTCCATCCATCCATCTTTCTCTGTCTACATCAGTTGGGTTGTACTGATGTAGAAGCACACATTACCAGATTTAAAGCCTGATTTGTCTGGCTGATAAATGTGTGTCTCTGTAAGCTTCACTCCTCACATCCTGTAGTGTGACTTTCTCCTGTATTGAGCACTACTGTTTTTGATGCCCTCTGTGGAGGGGCATGAGACTATTTCTGAATTTTGCAGATGTTCTCTTACTTTGAGAGTACTGTATACATGGCATATATTTAAGAAGGCTCCGATTATGTTATCTGATATGTCTGATGCCAGTTACCTGGAGTTCAGTCTGAAAAAAAAGTCATTTGATTGGATAATGCATGAGAGGGCTGATAGATAGATAGATAGATAGATAGATAGATAGATAGATAGATAGATATTGTTTGTATCATAAGTGGCTCAATATTAACCTTATTCGACTGTTGTATAAATGAAAATCATAAAAAATTATCTTGAAAATATACTTGAAATGACAGTAACTATATTGTGATAAATACCATTACAGATATAGATATAACGAATAAATGAGACCGATAAAACAAACGATAGATAGATAGAACAAACAATAGGATGAACAAACAATAGAGAGATCGGTTCGAATTATAGAAAGAACAAACAAATGATAGCTAGATAGATAGATAGATAGAATGAACGACAGGTAGAATTAATTAATGAATGCATGATAGATAGAATGAACAAAAGATAGAAAGAACAAATGAACGACCAGGAGATAGAACACACTAACGAACAATAGGTAGAAAAGAACAAACAAACAATTGATAGATAAAACAAACGAATGATAGGTAGAATGAATAGGTCGAACGAATGAACAAATGATTGTTGGATAGAACGAATGATAGCTCAAACAAAAGATAGAACAAACATGAAATAATCAATGAAATAATGAACAAACGATAAAACAACAAATGAACGAATGATAGAACAAACAAACCTACGAAAGAGTGAATGAATGAAGGATAGATGGAACAAACAATAGATTGAATGAACAAATGATTGAGCGAAAAGTCGACATTCATGTATTGATATTTCAAATAAACTGAATGAACAAACAAATGAAAGATCGAGTGAGCGAATGAAGAATAGATTGATGGAAAGAATGAGAGATAGAACAAACGACAGACAGACAGATGGCCACCCCTATGGCCGTAACATTTTAGGTCAAGCAGAAGTGTCATATTTTAAAGTTTTAAACCTAGTCTAACCATAAATAAACAGGCACAACTCATCCAGATATTTGTGCTTTCAATGTAAGAGAATGTTTGTGAAATTTAGGGAGAATCAGGTAGTGAGATCATGTTTATCAGCTCTTTTTCTTTCTATATTTAATCAGATCACAACCAAGGAAGAGGTGAACTCCAAACACATGGTGAAGAGTGACCCAGAACCCGAATCATTCAGGCCCAGTCTGAACGAGCCTAGTGTCCTGCTGCAACCTGATCAGATCGAGAAGGCAAGTTATAGTTTATTTTGGGTCCATATCTATATGTTGACCTTATCATATTTAACTCTGATGCACCTCATCTTTTGGCTAGCTCTCATGGGACTCTCGTGGCATTTTCATTATCTACCTGTGCTATTTCAATTGTATAATTGGCTCCCAGAAGTCCTTGTTTTTATTATACATTTGCTTGAAGTTACTTCCAAGTGCCCTTTCTGTACTGTCCTGATCTTTTGGGGCCTTTCCTTACTCACTTCTGGCCTGTAACCCCAATCCTCAGCTGGCCAAACACCTCCCCCCCAGAACGATCGGCTATCCCTGGTCTCTGGCATTCAGCACATCCAAACACGGCATGAGCATCAAGAGCCTGTACCGCGCCATGCAGGGCCAGGACTCCCCGGTACTTATGGTGATCAAAGACAGTGATGGACAGGTATGAGCTTGAGCTTCTGGGCTTTAGCTGAAGTGTGTGGTTTTACATGGATTGTTTTCAAAATTTGTATATGTCGATTGTGAAAATTGCATAGACTTCTAAAGC